ATGTCGGAGGGGGAGGAGGAAACAAAGGGGGAATCCGGGGGGGGGGGCTATTGTACTGTTGAGATGTTTGTTATGAGGCGCGGGATGCGGGGCGGTTCACGACAGTTGTGTGTAACTCACACCCAGTACGACGCTGGTGCTGCTGACAGCACAGCAGTAGTAGTCGCCGCCCAAATATCGATGCCGACTCGAACAAAAACAACATACATGCGGGTGCTCAGTGTTCCTCCCCCCCTCCCCCCCCCCCTCCCCCGCAGCAATTCCCTGACCCATCTCCTCGCCAAGTGCCCGACGCTGCGGATGGTCAAGGCGTGGGGCATCAGGCTGGCGGGAAGCCTCGGGGGCTCCGCCGTGTCTTCCTCCTCCTCCTCCTCCTCGCCCTCCGCGGAGGCCCTGGCCCTGCGGCAGTCTTTCGAGGCCCGGGGGGTTGAGCTCGCGTGGGCGGGGCCCCTCCCTCCTCCGAGTGGAAGGGTGCGAGAACTGCAACCCCCGCGAGAGAACAAGCCCGGTCGTGAGCAGCGGCGACGGGGGCACGGGTGCGGGGTTAACGGCGGTAGTGGTGAGCGGCCAGAGCCAGGAGGCGGGGGAGGTTGGCGTGAGGAGGGGGGGGGCGGTCGAGACGGCGAGGTGGGGGGTTCGGGGCAAGGGCGACGCCCATGCAGGCTGCAGTGCGGGGCCGCTCCCAAGATCGAAGACGCTGAGGACCATTTGGAGGTAGGTTACACCGTGGGAAAAAGCTGGGTGGGGCAACTCTAACATTTTGCTTTTGGGGTCGGGGGTCGGGCCCTTTTTTTTTTTTTTTTCCTACCTTACACAAAGAATCCATCTCTATCCACAGATAAGAGTAGAAAAAAAAAACTATCCAGGCTAAAATTTTGTTTCCGGCGTCAACCGAGCTAGCTGTGTAAGCAGATCGTGAGCTATAAGTGAGTGTAGGGTGGTGAATGAGGCAGGCGTGTTTTGTGTTGCAGTATCGCGTGCTCTCTTTTGGGATCGAAGCCTGGAGTTGCGCAAGAAAGTAGAAGGACGGAACAACATGCGATTGATGTTAATGTGCTGTTTTTGTCCCGTGAGGGGACTTTCTAGTCTATGGTTGTGTTGGGACCTTTCCTGCGCTGGCACGACGCAAAACAATCGCACAAGAACACGCCTTTTTGACAGCAGAGGTCTAAGGTTTCCTCGCCGGTCCGCGGGTTTCTCTGCTGTCTCTTCTCCGCGGCGTACTATTGCAAGTTTTAGCTTTTTTGGGAGCGAAGCCTGCTTTCGTTCGTTGCCCCGTGTGTCGTCGCTTTTCCTTGGGATGAGAGCATCTTGATCGTCCCTGACGTAGCATCTACTCCTCCTCTCATACCGACCCTCTTCCATACAGTAGTACCGGCCAAAAACGCACATATATATTCGCACACGCACGTCATCATTGCTCCACCCTATTCTGTTCGCCAACCCATGCCTTCTTCACCCACCCAACCCCCGGATGCGTTTACATGATGAGTCCATTTTATTTTCGTATACAGTATACCTTTTTTGGGTAAGTTAGCCTGTGGCTTCGGGAATCGACCGCGTCAAAGTGTTCGACTAGTACGGACAGAAGAAGGTACTGGGTAGAGAGGGATCGGAACGGTTTTTAATGTGAAGACAACACAACAACAACAACAACAACAACCCCCCCTATGTCGGCCGCGCGTGGGTGTGCACCGATTCGTGCCGCACAGGTCTGCCCCCTGGCCCCGGTTGACTGCCTTCTCCGAGCGGATGGGTGCGATTGGAAAGGGACGCGGCGGCAGCGGCGGCGGCACCTAGCGGCCTGCCCCATGTGGCAAGTCATGTGCCCCGGGTGCTGCCGGGCGGTGCACGTTTCGGGTGCGTTCGTCGCCTGCCTGAGCGTGGGCGGGGTGGGGTAGGTTTTCCCAGTGCTTGCGGCGGGATTTTCATCGATCGCCACCCCATGTACCATATGTGCTGGACTCTCTGGCGTTTTGACACTGTTTTTTTTTTTATCTTCTGCCCTTGCCCAACGCTTGGCGTTGTCTGTTGTTGTGGTTGCGGTGACTGCTGGGTGCTGTTGGCACGGAACGAGGTACATGGTGTGTCGGTGTTCCACGTCTGGGACACGTGACGTTGTGGAACTTTTCTCAGCCCCGTAGTCGACCAAGATCCAAAACACGCCTCGAGGAGGCATGCGCAGTGATCAGTCATGCAATATTTCCCTGGGGGGCGCTAGGCGGAAGCGATGGCGATTCGCTGATTCTGGCGGGGGTAGGTTCGATATGCCGTCGGTGTAATGTAGTCCCCGCTCTCTTTGACAGGTGGAAGGGTAAACAAGAAACAGCGATGACGAAAGATGGACTCTGGCGAGCATGCGCGAGCGCACCTGGTCCCCTCGATTCAGTTCCTTAGGCGGTATTCGGTATCTAGTATAAATACCAACAAGACACAACAAGAGGCCGAGAAATCGAACGCAATATTTTGGCTCAGAGAGAGTGTCGATGTTAGATGCTAACTCGGTAGAAGACGTGATGGAGCGGCGACATGCCCGCGTTTACATTTTCCGGTCGACGACAACGTCTAACAACGCGCCCTCCCCCCCTTTCTCCCTTCCCGCGTCTCCCACCCCGCTTCTTCTCGTCCACCATTTCCTCGCGGACCACCGACCGTTTCGTTTGGGTCATTGGTCCCCTCTGCGAACGTGCCGACTCGCGAATAATAAATAAACGAAAAAAGAGTTCGGCAGGCACCTACTCGGGCACTCCGCCGCTAGCGAGTCCCCGGCTCTCAACCCCCCGGGCTGCCCCCTTCGCGCCTACGGTTGCCTCGCCTGTCGGGCTGCTCCCCCTTCCATCACCACCAATAGCTGTAGCGGCAGTGGAAGCAGCAAAAGCTGTACCGGCAGTGGAAGCAGCATTAGCTGTGGCGGCAGTGCAAGCGGCAATAGTTGTGGCGGCAGTGCAAGCAGCGATGATACCGTCGCAAGCACCGTTCCCAGGATCGGCGACCGCATCCCCAACGCACGCGCCTCCTACGAGGCGGCGGCGACGGCGGCAGCGGCGACGGCAGCGGCAGCGAAGGCGGAGGCGGAGGGAGGGGTCGGGGTAGGAGAAGAAGGAGGGGGGCACGGCACGGCGGGGAGAGAGGAAGTGGCGGGAGGGCGGCAGGGCAGGGAGTGCGGCCACAACAACCTGGGGACGTGCCCATGGTACCGGGTCCTCTGCAAGTCCTGCGGACAGGAGGTGAGTTTCTTGGGGTCGACTGTTGCGTTGTTTCTGTGTCCCTCGGCGTTTGGTGTGCATGCACGATGCTGCATCTTGTTGGCAGATACAGATAGCTTGTGGAGGAAATGCTTTCGTCGATCTGTTGCCGGCCTGTTTGTTTTTTTCAAATACACAGCTATTCTACCATATATTCCCTTTCCTCTCCCCATCTACGGAGTCGGCGAAGAAACTCCAAAGAACACGGCAAACGCCCGCCCTTGACATGAATGAATTCAGGTGGGCAGGAGGGAGTGGGACGCGGGAGAACACCATTGCCCGGTCCAACGGAGGGTGGATGTCCTGGCCAAGCATGCCTCTGGGGCCGGGAAACTCCGTAACCGACAGTGAGTGCACAGCGCTGTATTTGCCGGAGGGCTCCGAGCGCAAGCGGTATATAACCCAAAGCCGACGTCAGGTCAACAACACGCATGTTTCCCGGTTTTGATCATGGTGTTCCAAGGGTGTGTCGGCAAATCTCGAACTACAACACATGATGGAACACAGCGTGTTGTTGTTGTTTTTGATGTTGTCTTCACATGAAAAGGCGTTCGGATCTCGCTGTCCAGTACCTCCATCTGTCCGTACTGGCCCAACACGTTTCGCGGTCGATTCCCGTGGTCAAAGGCTAATTGTACCCAAGAAAGGTATGCTAAAAATACGGGTCCGCAAGCCAAGAGAAATCAGCGATAGATGGTCTAGAACATTCCGCTCGCCTCTACACGCTATGCGAGGTAAGCAGAGACTAGACGCCAATGTTTATCAACGGCGGATGGCGCCTACAGGAGAGCATCGCGTTGTGTGTGTTGTTTGGTAAATGATGCGAAAACGGTGGTGCACTCAATGTCAGGCACAGAGGCGAGTGTGAGCATGTCCTCATGCCCGGTTTGCGCTTTCGGGAGGGGGGGTGCGCGAACCGTAGACGTTCGGTATCTCGTATCTAATCGTTTTTTTTGTTGTCAGGTCGCTATTTAGGGGTACCAAGGTGTGCCGAGGAAACGTTGGCAAAAATGAAAACTTTGGGTGCAGTGTCTCCTGGTCTCTTTTTTGGGTACTTGTACCATCCTGCAGTACCGCGAAGATACGCGCACGTCCAACGCACCTACCTACCGGTATGGCAGTAACCCTGTCCAAGTAACGCATCCGCTCGACCCCCCCCCGCCGATTCTGTCTGCGGTACCCCTTGTTTTTTTTTTCCCAGATGGTTGATCGTGTACGGGTACCTCGGAAGCGGCGGCAAGAAGGGCACTGCGGAGGGCTGGGAAGACAAGGACGCGCACTTCCACGGTGTAAACCCCATGTGTGCCATACCCGACTCCGTGCTATCGACGTCGCTGCCCCTGCCGGGCCCGGCCGGGGCCCCCGTGTCGCCGGTAACGCCTCCTTCGTAATATCGCGTTTTTTTTTCTTTTTTCTGCTGGGTTACCGCGTTTTTGGTTGAGGGCGATGCCGGAGAGAGAGAGAGAGAGAGAGAGAGAGAGAGAGAGAGAGAGAGAGAGAGAGAGAGAGAGAGAGAGAGAGAGAGGGGGGGGGGGGGGGCTTGAGTTGTGGTCGTGGTTTGTTGGGAGGAAAGAGAGAGCGCCGTTGATCGAGGAATAGCGGAAGCACGATGTCTTTTCTCGCGGACGGGTTCGTGCGGCACCGTCTCCACCCCGTTGTCCGTCCGCAACAGCAGCCACCAGCACAAGCTGCGCTGCAGGGTCGACATGTCGCATGAATTTGCAAGTTTTTTTTTTAGCGAACCAGCGGATAGCAGTAGGTGGAGGTATAGATTATGGTCGCCCTCCTTCGGGGAGGAAATCCGCATTCATTCTGCCATGTGCTCTAAATGGTGATTGCCATGAAAGCCAAAGATGCGAGGCGTATGCATACAAACGACTACACACTGCCCGGAAAGAGCGCGTGGCGTATGATTTAGAGTCGCAAAAAAAAAGGTCAAGTTAGTGTAAAGCGGGAACCCATCGTACTCGCGCCATCCTAACATGTGGGTGGCGTCATTCCGAGCTGCTTTGTGCTTGGCCAAAGCTACGCATACATAGGGAATCTTCGTGTTGTTGTCGGGAGCAAGTAATTTTTGGGGGTCCGGTAGTGAGTTGCTCTTGTCGTGTCGTGGTACTGTAGGGTTGTGGAGAATTAGGTCCGGGTAGGAGAAGCATCATCCATCCGCGCAGGCTTTTTGACACGCTTGAAGGATGTTCCGAGGTTGTAGGTTGTCAATTCGCTGGGAGTTGTCCTAGTAGGTTTGGTTGCATCCAACAGTCTTACGTGTGTCCAACGCTGTTTTCTCACGTTGAATTTTTGTCGGGGCGGAATATTCTTCAGCAGCTCGAAGTTTTGTTGGGAGAAACACACGAGCGGGTTTTAGTTTCTCACTTTCTTTTTTTTTTTTCTCAGCTGGTGAGAAAAGAGCCTTGGCCCTCCCTGAGATGGAACAGCAAAGGAAAACAGAGAAGAAAACATCGTGTGCATAGTACATAAGAAGTGAAGTATTTCGTTGAGTACCTAGGTATTAGTTTGTTCCGAGGGTTGTGAATTGAGTCTTTTGCGTAGGAACAATCGTGACGAGGAGTCACGTGGTCGATTGGGAAGAATCGCAGTTTTGAGGGGTCCTTGACACTTGGTGTGGGGAGGGAAGGCTCTTGCAACTTTTGTGGAGCTTGTTTGAGGCAAATGTCCAATCCCTATGGTGTCTTGTCTGTGGTCGACGATAGTCTTGGGGGGCTTGCTTTTCAAGAGTTCTGAAGCTCGGTGTTGAAAGGTTCTTGACAGGAGGTCTGCAGAACCGGGCCTTGGCCCCCACGGTCTGTGCTATCTATGCGTGCTCTTTCGTGCTGTCTATCGTGTCCGCCAGTCTAAACGTTCCGTAAACTGCCGTGTTTGACGCTCCGGCCGCGTCAACGATTGCAATTAATTGCCAAAGTTTATTGTCTGTTGCCCGTGGGCTTTGCTCTCTCGAGTGCGAGAGAGCACGTAATTGGTCTCGATGTCTACTGTTACGCGTGAAACATGCCTTTGATGCCGACGTGATCGCAGTTTCCTCCCTCCGGCACATGCGGAAATTTCTCCGGGTCTTGTGTTGTTCGTTTCACTTCGCCTTGTAACACGGAGGGGGCACTGCTATTGCCTACCAAAGTGCCGTGGATTTCAACCCCCCGCTGCTGAAAGTATTAAACGGAGACAGTCTTCTTCCAGATGCAAGTGGGGTCGGGGCACAGAACAGCAGGGCCAACGAAGACCTACGCGGTGACTGTACACGTGGTCGGTTGATGTCAGTCGCACCCGAGCACAAGAAACAAGTAATTCAAAACGATTCCTGACCCCGCAGGGGTGTGGGGAAAAGACAAAAAAAACGATCGCACCGAGGTATGTGGCAACTCCAGCCCTCCGCTGCGAAGTTCTGCCCCCGGTAGTCGCGACCGGACCCGACTGAATTTTCCAAGTTTGTGGAAAAGCAGGACTGTAGCACCAACCAACCGACCATTCAACATCCACAGAAGGTCAGAGGGCCCCGAATCAAAGGAGTCAAGGAAACAGCCCCTTCGATTCACCCTCTCCTCGCTGTCGTAAAGAACCACCCAAACACGATAGCTACAGCACCACCAAAGAGACACGCTGGCGCCAACACCACTACTGCGCTGCCTGCCCACTCAACAACCACGCATCACTGAAAGAAAGGGTGCCGTGCACGACGGCCGTGCCACCCCCTCCTGGTGCCCCCCCCCCCCCCCCCTTGGGCCCACCGCTATCGGTGGCTGCAAGCGTTGGGCAGAAGCCCCACCGTGCCGAGCATGATCCTCTGGGCCACGAACCTCACCATGACGGCCATGTCGTCTAGACCCATCACCGCTACGTCCGGTAGGTGAACGAACATCGCCTGCGGGGGGGTGGGGGTGGGGGGGAGTTCCATTGTAGAGGAAGGCGTGAGCGGGCATGGGGCCTAACCGAAAAATGTCATGTTTTCTGACTCGAGGCAACTCCGGATCTTAACAGTCTTATGAGTGGAAACATTTCTGTAAGGACTCTTCACGTGCATGAATTGGCTCACTAGAGGTTGCATCACCTGTATATCATAAATGTTTCTTCTCTTTCGCCAAACTAACGGTAGTCTACATACATACACCAGGGCCGGGTATACCGCCGTACAAGATCGGCCTGTGCTGGCGTGCTTAGAGGTGGACGGAGAGTCTTTGCGGCGTGCGGAGTACGCGCACGGGCTCAGAGAAGGGCGCACCAATGCGCGATCGGTGTATCGCGGAAGAAGAACTGCGGCGGTGAGTTTGCAGCCAGGGGCCCAAGAACTACGCATCCAGACGTAACGTTAAACTATGCAAGGGCTGTTAAAAACGAACTCTTGCTGTAACCCCAATAACCGCAAATCGAAACAAAACCAACCATTGTAGCATGTTCGCCGTCCGAGAGAACCTAAACCTCGAGCAAGGTCGCCCCGTCTACGTACGTACACGTATGCCCCCAAGACTATCTACCGCAAGCACGTAATAATAGCGGTCGTCTGTCCCTGCTTCACCAACCCAAAACAACCCCCCACCCAAAAAAAACAAAACTCGCCGGGATAAGAGAAGATCCATCAACCGACGGGGTGCCCAGCTCGCGAATGGCGTGCAGCGTGCGGTAGAACATCTCGTTGCAGTAGTACGCCCCGGCGTCCCTGCTCCAAGTCTCCAGAGTTACGAGGTCGGCGTGCCCGCCGTCTTGCAGGAGCTCCGCGAGGTCACGGAGATCGAGGAAGGACACGGGTGCCGTGGTGGGGAGAATGCAGGGGGAGCCCTACCCGGAGGCGACGAAGCAGCGCGGTCCGGTGGCACAGAAAAGGGTTTCGGCATGGTTGTGATAGGATGGGGGGAGCGCGCGAGGGGGGGGTCTGTTGCAGAAGACATGCGGGGGGGTTGAGAGACAAGCTCGACTTGGTACACGATGTCAATCATGTCTATATTTGCACTTTTGTAAAACGCATCTTTCCCTCTTTCTCGTTCCTGCTCTCTCTTTCTCTCTCTGTCTCTCTGTCTCCCTCCCTACCTCATCTGCTCTGCTCTGCTCTGCTCTGCTCTGCTCTGCTCTGCTCCCCCCCCCCCCCACCCCCTTC